TTCCATTCAAGACTCAATTTTTAAATTAAAAAATAAATACTTACAATTAAGTAAAGTCTTAAAAAAAAACATTCTTAGAAGCTGATTCCCCTCTACTTTACTACTTTAGCCAACCCCCAACTTTTAACATTTTTCAACCCTCTCAATAAAATTGCATGCGAGCACCCACATATCAAATCAATATTCTCCAGCTTAGAGACAAAGTTGACACAATCCACCTGGCCAACAGGTGCGACAGAACGACAACCTGTCTCCAAAAATTTAAAAGCCACACCACCACCATCTGGAATCACAGTTAAACCCCTATTTGAAAGAACTTTGGGTGCCCTGGGTATTCCGGGTGGCTTGCTGGGGGGCGTCGCTAAAAGGATACTTTCATTTCATGCCCGGCGAGAGAGTGCAAACAATTTTTAGTGAAATTTTCGAATAGGCGAACAGCAAGCTCCCTTTTTTTGCGAGGGGTTTTTTGGTTCCGATTCCGATTCTGCCGACGACACTTGATGATGATGATACTCGCTCATGCACACACCCGTATTTGGTTTGTTGTGTGTGTTTGTGGTGTGTTACGTTTTTTATTCCGCCTCTTTTTTTGTTTTTGTTCATGCGCACACTGAAAAAGGTTCTAAATAATGACGGGAGCGCCAGCAACAACAACAACAGCAACGACCACTTAGAATGATAAAACAAACACAGAAACAAACAGGAGAAACAATAACAACAAATAAAATACAGAGAGCACACGCACACCACTGTTAAAGTACAAAAAAAAAGTGGGTGGTGGGGCTAACGAGAGGAAGTAGGGGCGCAGGGTCATGGCTGTTTATCTCGCTCGCACTTGCACGACATTGACTTTGAAACACATTTGACAGCCTCAGGCAGAAGAAGAGGAATAACCCGTGATCACGACCAAAAAGCAGAAGCAGCAACAACAACGAAATAACCAACATAAAGGCCATACAAATAAACAACAACAATTTGTTAGCAACAGAACTGTTCAGTTCTCATCAGAGGTGGTTATTTTGGTTTAAAAAAGATAATATAATAATAATAATAACATAATAATTTATTAGGCTTACGTAATCTTGGCATAAGCATCAGTAATATCAGAAATATTTTAAGTCGTATTTTCCAGCATCTGTACATAACCTAATCTTAATGCAAAATTTAATCAATTAAATTAAATTCTTACAAAACACTAAAAATTAAATAAAATTATTAATGTAGCTATTTTTCCACCGATTTGGTACCATCACTGAAATCCCACATATGTGCTCCCGCCAAGTAATTAGCATTTCTGCCTCTTACCGTCTCTGTCGCACGCATAAGCAACATGACAACCTAATTCACCACGCCAGAGCGAGCGCAAAGGTAAACGAACTGTAACCCTCACCATCCCCCACCTTTGTCAACTCACACGTGTGCCTGTTGGCTTGCTTGTGTGCACAGGCATATTTCAATGCCAAGGTGACGGCCTCGCCACATTATCTCGCTCTCTTTCTATTCCTGACTGCCTTCCATTCGTCTCACTCGCTCGCGCGGTGAATAAGTCAACCTCCTACACTTTTCTGCTCTACTGTTACCGTTAAAACTTAAACTTAAAACAGTTCAAACATTTTTTACAACACAAAAATCGGCGCCAGAGGAGCGCGAACCTCAAGGTATCCACCATTATCGCATTGAATCCCATTCAATCCACTCGCAAACTCACTCGCGACCTGCCACGCCCCAAAAAAGGGGGACGGAGGATAAGAGTACGATTACGAGTACGAGTGAGTGAATAGTGTGAATGCCTTATATTCGTAGCGGTTTTGTGAATTTTGTAATAGGCAAGCAGGACTTCAAGATGGATTTTCGGGTCTTTATGCAGGCACGAAAGAGATGAATATATGCCGTAATGTTTGCTCAGTAGTGGGACTCTCAGTGCTCTAAACGCTGGGCGCCTGTTAACTGTTTTAGTTAAAGAGCAATCCATTTTGTTTTGCCCCATGAAAAGGAGTAGCGCCAATGTTCTGTCCCCATCTCAATCGCACATGCCATATTGCCATCTCAACTTGCACGCAGCAAAGTTGCTGAAAAGAAATGCGAGAAAGAGTGCGAAAAAAGGCAGCAGATGGAAAAGGAGTGAAGCATTATGAAGATTATTTGCCCCTTAAATATTTATTACATTTTTTAAATGCCAATTTTAAAGCTTTGTTTCCCTTATAATGATTAATTTTTATATTGTCATTTAAGCTTTAAGCGCATTTGCACAAAAGCTGAGCTACAATTTGAGGCTATCTTCCAGTGGGAATTGAAAAAACATATCTAGCTTATTGTTAAAGCTTGGAAATAGGGAAAAGATTTGCGCGAAATAGGAATTCTGTGGGTTTTATTTTCAATGGGTTTTCCCTTTTTTCCGTTTTGGATTTTCCCTAATGCTACAATGCAATCTAACAAATATAAACTTAATTTTTTGGGAGCTAGGGATTTGAAGGGATTTGTTTTTAGTTATGCTGAATGAGTTGGGCTTCCCCTTTTCTCATTTCGCATCTTTTGGCTTTCTGATAAAACTTTCAATCCGCAAAGCACGAAAAAAGCATTAACAGCGCTTTCTGCAAGTGTGTGTGAGGTGCTTTTGATTTAATAAAGTTTAATCTATTGATAATAAACATAAAAGATACAATTTATAAAAAGGTCTCAAAGGTAAGACTTTGAAAAGAAAGGATATTTCTTGACTTCGAAATTGATCAAATCAAAAAAATGTTCGGTCATAAATTTTGGAAAGCATAATTTTATCGAACGATCTTAAGTGATCTTTATGGTTCTAGCATTTTTTATTTCTTTGATATGCATTAGATACTCCTAAGACCTATTAATAACTTTGAGTCTCAACGCTTTCCGTTAAAGTTTTCAAACTTATTGTGCTTGGTGATTGCCCAGAACTTTTAAACACTCATCTGAGGGGCAAAACGGGACAGAACTCACTCTTTTTGAGCGATGCAGCTTGCAGAACAAGTATAGAACTTAAACTTTGCTAGAGGGAGAGCACATCAACCCCTCCTCACCCATTAAAGAAAGTGAGAGGGAGAGGGAGCTATTGGTAGAATGGGAAACCTTAAGTTAGCGAACCTGAGAAGAACCAGAGAATGTGTCCAAAGTCTTTACCTCTCCGCGCCCCCCATATCATTGGCTATTTTAATAAAAGCACTCGGAGGTGAACTTGACAGATTTAACTTTTTTCAAGTTTCGTTTCGGAATACCGAAAAGCGGCCGCCTCGCAACTTTGGCAAGTTAATTTAGCATGGAAGCTACAGTTTTGAAAGTTCTTTTGCTGGGCGCTGAAAATCGTCGATGGCTTTAGGAGGGCGATATGATATGTATTTGTTTTGTTTTGAAACAGGTCGACGATGCTTGAGGTTTTCAAGGGGGCTGCGGGGTCAACCGATCCGAGCGTAAGCGTTTTATATACATTTTTTTTTAGCCGAGAGAGCTTAAACAGCTTTTTAGTCCGCATATTATACAAAAGAATTTATTTATTGGCCTCTTGCAATTATTGTGTAAAGAAATTAAATAAAACCAAGAACCCGAAATCAGCGAATGCAATTTTTTAATTCTGAATCAGAAATTGCAAAGGTTATCTAATGATATTACTTACTTAGTGTTCTTAATGGCATAATAATTACGCAGTGCCCAAATACTTTGAAGGCAATTAAAACAAATGTTATAATTTCTTAATTGCCCATTATAAGATATATTATAATTATCACTAATGCAATATGTAAGCCCAAGTCACAACAGTAATTGAATTCGTTGCCATAATTTAGGAAAACCACTTTAAAATGTGGTTAAAAGAATGTAATTTTAATTAATAAATTAGCGGAAAGTAAGCGTACTGCTTTTTGAAAGCTTCTAATTACACTTAAATTAGTGAATATAATTTTTTACGTTAAACATTAAATATATATTTTAAATTCTTGTTTTTATTTTTCACTAAAACTCACATTTTATAAAAAAAATGTTCTCATAATTTTTATAGTAAAGCAACTTAACTACTCACGTTTTAAATTCTTCCCGTTGCATCTATGTAAATTCTAAATAACTTTTTAATAAAGCAACAAACTTTTGAATATATTCCGAAAAAGTCCCTAGAAAAAACCCCAAAGTCGAATCCCACACCAACTGATTTTTCCAGACTATTCCGCTCTCTTTCGCTGCGTCTACAAATTGCACATCTAACGAAACGGAAGCAGTTTTTTCGAAGAAATTGCACAACTCATTCGGTGTAGAATTATTGTAATCCCCACTAGGCGCACAGATATCGTTAGCAGGTCGATTTCCCCTAAGAGTCTTCGGAGTGCTTTTCGCCGCAAGCGCTTTCCGCAACGAGTGCGAACGGGATGGCAGCTGTGCGCAGCTTTTGCCGCGCCCCACCTTGGAGTCGTGTGCCGTCTCGCTTGCGCCCAGCGTTGCATTGACGTGTGGCCGTAAAAACGAATAGTGCAGAAAAGACGCCAAATCGCTGGCTAATTTGCCTGAGCGCCTGATGAAAAATTCACAAAAAGCCAAAATAGCGCGGAACATACAATTTTTTTCTCGGACGGCGAATCACGACGCAACTCTAAAATCCGGCAGTTGGTATTTAAAATTTAAATTTATTAGCGCGACTTTGAATAAAATTAAATAGTTTTAAAAGCAAATAATTTTTTTTATTTTTGGTTTTTCATTTAATTTATGAAATAAGTTATTAAACGCGTTTTCTATTTATGATTTAGTTTTCGTCGCACTTTTGAATTTTTAACGTACATTTCAGAGCGCCAAATTTAAAATTGGATTTCAGAAGGGATGGATTTTAAACATAATAAAAAAATAAATAAATGAAAAAATAAATTTAATGAATGAATAAAAGGTTGAAACCATTCAAAAATTAACAAGTTTTAATTTAATTTTATTTATTTCTGTACTCTTAACTTGACAACCCTTTGAGTGCATTTTTTTCTTAGGATCATCTGTGAATAATTCTATTTTTATCTGTTACAAGAAATTGCAGCAAGTCAATTGCAATTCGTTAATTGTCGAGCGTTTTCGAAGTAAGTTTTTTACAAAGAAGAAAAATTATAAAACAAAGTAACGATATTTATGTTTTAAGACGGGGCTAAATTCGATTTCTTAAGTTTTCTTTTTTAAACATTGAAGTGCATTTTTTTTATACAACCAGCAGTTACATAACCGATTTAAGCAAAAATGGCTCTACCCGATGGACTGTCTAACAAAATGAAGGTTTTCCAGGTGAGCTTAGAGAAGCCAAAAATTTTAAAAATATTAAAGGTTCTTAAATATTTTAGGCTGTCAACGAGCTGCCCGTTTTTCTGAAAGGCGGCCCAGCGGACAAGGCTTTATTCGGCATTACTGCTGGATTGTGCGGCGTTGGCATCCTCAGCTTTATCCATTTGGTCTACACAATGGGTTTCGCCAAGAAGAAGGCTTAAATTAAGTGATTAAATACTTTCTTGATTAAAGAAATATTAAACTAAGTAAATATTGTTTTATTATTATTGAATGTCAAATGAACCGCTAAATTAATATTTCTAAAAACGTTAGTAGAGCAACACTGCTTTTGTCCACGCAATTATGAGTTTGAGTTTTCATGATATACCAACTCTGGTCACACTCTTTTTGGGGAGGAAAAATAAAAACAAAGAAAAGAAATTTTAATTCCTAACAGAATTTTGTAGAATTTTATTTAACATAACTAGCCAAATGGAGCCCAACGATGAGGTGGTAGAACGCCAGAAACTAGTGAACGATGTAGAAACGGAGGAGGAAGCCCAAAGCCAAAGTGCACCCAAATCAGCCACCCCCGCCTCGCCCGCTGTACCAAATGTGAGAGATTCCTGAGATTTTAGTATAGAAACTTTAATTTTCTTCTTATTTTCTGCAGATCAAAATCAAAGGAATATCTAGTGGAGAGACCACACGCAGCAGAAATTCCGCTTCCTGTTCAATAGAACGTACGATATCCGAAAAGGAGAAGGACAAAAGCCAGGGGCAGGGTCAAACAGCGACGAAGGTGACATATGTAAATGAACGGCGACCACGCCCACAGGCACATGTTGGAAGCGGCAGCGGAGGAGGCGGTGGTGATGAAAGATTCGAGTTCAAGACCCGGCCACGTAAATTGCTCAAAGGTGGGTGAAGCTATAAAGCGAAGTTACTCATCGTTTTCCCCATTTTTAACGGCATTTTCAGTCGCTGTGGATGGCGGTTTTTGGTGTCAGCTGGGAAGGTTTCGGTATTCGGTTTCATTAACAGCACAAATATAAGGAATTGCCTATGATACCATTTTTAAAGCATAACTCTAAATTTATACATTAATATAAACTTAAGTCTTCATTTCGAAATCCAGAAAATATTTAACAAAATAATATATAATAATTCCCTTTTATTCATAACAAATTCGACTAATTGCCAGCCTTAATGGCCATCATTGACCTTCCTTTTGATGACGCACTTTTCCGGTGTCCATATGGCCGGAATACATTAGATTCCATTATTCACAATCTATATACACACGAGCCCCTCCCTTTACACCCCTCGCGCATAGACACTTTGGGAGGTGGTTATAATTTCAATAATTGAAATTACAAGCCGTCATGGCTCTCACCGCCTCATGCAAAAAGCAAAAACTAAAATAACAGCCTGTGGCAGGACGTTTTCTATTGCTTGCTGTAAGCTTTTCCCATCGGTTCAGTTCATACGGCAATTGTTGTGATTTATTTATTAGATTTTATTAATAGTGTTTAATTTATAGTTTCGTAGTTTTAGTTGTGACATAAAACTTGTATTTGAAGTTTTTAATAGTTATTTGTGAATTAGAGAATTAGTTTCTGTACTATTTTTACCTTTATTACTTTCGGTGGCTTATTTGTTTGTGTAATATCTAACAAAATTATTGTTTAAATTGGTTTATTTATGATTTCTTTATTTATTATTATTATTTGTATCTGTATTTCCATATCCCTTCACGTTTGATTTGTTGTCCATGTCATGACGAGACCAGATCGCGATCAAATGGAACCCACACACAGCAGTGCAAACAGCTTGAATGCAATCACTTTGGTGAGCAGCGAGTGGCTAGCACCTGATCCCACAACCTCGAACAAGAAAACCACCTTAATCCAACACAACACCAACAACAACAACAACGACAGCACAAAACCCAACAATAACAATCAACATAATAATAGCAATCAGAATACACCGCGATCGCAGCGTCGCAAGAATCCTTCAGCCACGATGCCAAATACCAGTATCCGCAGCGATAAATTCGACGATCGTCCAATAAAACATCATTCCTTTGTCTCCGAAGTTCCCGATGTGAAGCACATGGAGCGAGCTCTTCTAGGATTGCTGGATGACTTTCACTCCGGCAAGCTGAAGGCATTCGGTGAGTGGTGCATGAATTTTGCATACAATAACTACGGCTAATTCTTTGCTCCTAACATTACTATCCAAGCAGGTTCCGGCTGCACCATGGACCAGATGACCAAGATCCGTGAGCAGCAGGAAAGCCTGGCCAAACTGCATTTCGAGCTTGCTGCCGCCGAGGAGGATTCCTTGGAGCACGGCAACGAGTTCAATACCAACAAGGCTCAGGAGAATATGTTGCAGTTGATGCAGCGTCTGGAACAGCTATCCATTTCCATTGAGCAGCTGCAGACAAGCCACACGGGTCTCTGAGATTTGGCTCAGCCGCAGGCTTGGGATCAACGCCTGCTCTGGCTCTGAGCACATTACTTTGAGGAAAACAAGTAACACCAAAATACAGAAGGAAGACATTTCGGAATTCAGATGAAGTTTTACACGAGATTAGCGACTTTTCAACGGTTAGGGAGCTATCATTTAGGATTTTGTGTAAATATTTTAAGTTTTACGCTTAAGTGGAAGGACTTGATGGATGGGCTTCTTATGCTAAATAGTTTAGCAAACTCGCAGTGATTGTGAAACTAATTTAGATTATCTTCGCATAGCCATAGAAATAGCATTAAATTATACAAATGTAATAGACGGTGCCAAGGGATGGTGCTAAAATGATTCATTTCATTACAATTCGATTCGATTTGATTATTGTGTGCTGCAGGTTATCAAGCTTTTTGATTACGATAAAAAATCTGTTCCGCTTATTGTTTGTTATAGTTATTTGCAATATATATATATATATAAACACCTAATCATATACATGTACGGAACTCGGAACCTATTAAAGTTATCATTTTTATAATGCATTTAAAAGTTGTTTTACGAAAGCATGATTTATTGTTAATTTTTAATGGCCATAAAGAATTTATTTTGGTATTCCTATCACTATTTGTGGCGCTTGGATTGTCAGATTTTTTGTTCAACTTGTGGTTCTAAGGAAACGGAATTCCCCACAATCTATCAATCGTTCGTCCCCAATCGGTGGCCTCTCAAAGACGCCCACTGCGGATTCCGTTCTGCATGCACAATTCCCATTCCTCGGGATGGGCATATCAATTGTGAGAAGTGAACCTTTGGACAAGTGCATTCGTACATAGGAAATTTTATTCCGTCGTTGTTGTTGCTGATGATTCTTGTGGCTTAATTTGTGCATTTGTATTCATCTGGTGTCCTCCGTTTCTTGGGCTGTCATTGCGCAGTCGCAGCCGGGATATATCCCCATTGCTGTGATTGTTGCTTTTGTTGTTATCCGACTTTAATGTTGTGGCTTACAGTCGTTGTTCTTCTTATTTTTGTTGCTTTTCTTTTGGTTTGTTTGTTGTTTTTGTGATCGGTAAAAGTAATTTGTTGTTCATTCTTTCTTTTTAATGTCGGTGTAAATCCGGGTTTCAAATAACAAGAACTGTGCACTGAGAGAAAAATATGCGATTTATTAGAGAGGAATGTAGATAAAGTATCAAATTAATAAGTTTTATTAACAAAGATTAAAGTTAAATTTCTACCTGTAAATGGAAGAATGAAAATAATTTTATAAACTTTTCTGAAAATTTAACAATTAATTTTCTAAAATTACTAAGATTTGGGGTGGAAAAGTTTGAAAATGATTAACAATTGTACCAAATTATCAGTCTAAAAAGGAGATAATGAACTTAATAACAACATAGGTCTAAGAGGCAGAAAGAGTTTAGGTTATAGTTTCTGCCAATTTTGTACTTCCATACATTACCTACACATAAATCTCTCGCAGTGCACTCCCACTTGTTGGTTTGTGGCCACTGGCCACCGTTCCCTTTTCGTTTTTATTATTTTTTTACCCCTTCTGCCGCCTTTCAACTTGTGGCCAAACTCTCGGGTTCTTTTGGGCTTCTTTTCTCTGTTTGGCTAGCGGTTTAGTGCATTCCTTGGGCCTCCGTCTCCGGTCTCTCACACTCCGAGAAATGTTGAAATAAACGCTTGGACCGTCGCATCCGCCACGCTGCATACAAATGCATTCTGTTCGACAAGGGCGTGGCATTTGAGCCGGCAGCAAAAACTAAACAGCAACACGCAACATCTATCCCCAAATTGCTGCCACAAGTGCCACTGACATTGCCACAGCCATAGCCACCGCCACTTCCACTCATCATCATCAGCCATCCATGGATCCACGTTCCATCACGTGCTAGGGATTGGGTTGGGGGAATCCATCCCGGCGGAGGGATTGGACATGGAAATGGGGAATATCCGCGGCATTTTTAACTCAGGCAAGGCCCTACCTTACACTTAGAGAAATTATAATTAAGATAACTATTTTTTAATAAAGGGTTAGAAAAGGATGAAGGGCACTAGCTTGTTATTAAGGTAAACTAGTTTAACTTAACTTCAAAACTAGTAAACATGAACAAGATATTGCTTAGCCATTTTCCATGAAAAATGTTAGAATTCCTTTCTTTTTTTTTTTAAATAAATAAATATTATGAAGGTTTCTACTAATTATTTTTTGTCCAGTTTAAAGTTAATTTCTTCCAAGTACCAACAACGACAAGTGCCTGGCTTCTTTTTGAGGTGGGTGCAACAGGGGATCCGATTCGTGTCGCATCGCATCGAATCGGATTGGGATCGTTGGCAGTTCATCGAATCGAGTGTTATGTAAAGACGGCAACCGAAAGAAGTCATTAAATATGTGAAGCGCATATCAAATTTCGAATGAATTGAACTTACTTGGCTTGGTCACATGAGAATTTGATGAACTGCCAAGCGGACGAAGAGTCGTTGATACCTTTTATTTTGGGAAAGGGATTGGGAGGGTGGGGGGTTCAGGGCTGGAGATACAAGTGCAAGGTAAGGGTGGGCAGGAGAGCAACACTTGTTGCCCGGGCAATCTGATCCGATATGCTGTTGGCGTCGTCGGGGCACTTCATTAACCTGAACTCTGACTCCGCCAAGACTTTGTGCACTCACAGAAAATTAGAAGTTTTTGGCATGTTATAAATCTGCAAGAATAGTTGTGGAAATTAATAAACTAACGTGGGAAAAGACACCAGAATAATGGCTACAAATATTACCAATTTTAAACTTAGTATTCAGTTTTTAACTTGTTCGAATTAAAAAAATGAATTTATCTTATTTAACATAATATTGATCTTTTTTTAAGTGTTTTCTACCTTTTGAGCAGTTTGCTTAAAGTCTGTCCCAGCTCCAGTGGCTGTCTGGACTCTTAATCCTTGCCCACCCATGAACACAGAGGCAGCTGCTCTGGCTGTGCGGAAATTACGTTGCTGATGAGCAGCTCTGGAAAAGCGGAAGACGCACGAAGCTTTTCCACCTACAGGAAGTGCGACAAAATTCAAACAGACTCTGGTCCCCGCTCAGCTCCGCCTCTCCTTGCCCACCATCCAGCATCCTGCATCCTGCTGGCAAAGCGGAAGCAAAAAGAGAAGCGAGAAAGGAGGAGGAGGAATGGGTGGTGGTGGGTCAGTGGGTGGACCTGTGACAGCTCTGGGCTGGCATAAATGCGCACACGGCGCAAGGCAAAAAGTTTCCTGGCAGGAGCCAAGACTCCCAAAGAGGAAGTGACTAGTGAATGGGGGGATGGTAGGGGGTAGAGTGGATGGCTGGGCTTGGGTTTGTTATCGTCATCCCCCCCACCACCACCCCTTCGGCAAACGGAGAGGCGCGCTGAGGGCGACGTACTTTATTTCCTGAAAATGTCCTCGAAAATATGAACATTATATCCCGGAAACGGAAGCTGCAGCATTTGCAAGGAAGTGACGCAAGGGGCAGGAAACACCAACCCAGAGCCCAGCCGCCCACAGAGCACAAAACATTTCGTGGACATGGACATGAATGTGGATTTGGATGGGTTGATTAAAGCGGGTAAACAGCAGCGACAGGAGACCAGGACGACAACGGCAAACGAAAACGAGGACGAGCACCAGGCCACCGTTGAAATGTACACACAAGTTGAAACAGGGCACAGGACGAAGAGTACAGGGAAAAAATTTGTAACTTTTTTTATATTTTATAAGCAAAATATTTAAAAATTTAATAGGGACATCATAAGTAAGAAATGTGTTTCCCTTTTATTTTTTATTTTTAATTTTTTGGTTTTTATTTCAATCTATTTTATTTTTTTATTAATAATACAATTTCTTTGAAAAAATATTTTGGAAAAAAGGAGCTCCGCTTCGACCGTGACAGGACTCGAACCTGCAATCTTCGGATCCGAAGTCCGACGCCTTATCCGTTAGGCCACACGGTCATTTGATAAGCCTGGCTTAAAAAGTTATATTTCTTTTACAGCCATGGCTATGTTGTAATGCAAATATTATGTAAAAATATTTAATCCTAAAAAATCTTAAAATGTGGTTTACAATTTTAAATCACAGCTAAGAAGATCATATACTTTTTGTTACTGTGCTGGTCCAAGATGTACACCAGGAGAATGCGGGGAAGGCGAATTGGACATCTGACTACGTTGTCGCATCCTGCAGGAAGCGTGACGTTGCCGCCGGCATCTGCAGCTCCCACTTCGTCCATTTCCCATTTCCCACTTTTGCCCCCCGGAAAATGGCAAACGGAATGCGAGAGGCAGAAGCCTTTACGTCAAGGAAATGACGGAAGCAGCCTCAGCAGCTGAATCCTTCGTCTCAGCTGCTTTGGACTGCATCTCCGGAATATGGACTACCAACGACTATTGACACAGGAGCTGGGGGAAAATCCTTAGAGAGAGAAAGCGGGGCAGGACTCCGCTTTGGCAGGAAATCATCGTCCCATTGGACGTAAATTAAATTCCATGCAAAGTTAATTTTTCTCACCCACCCAGAGAAAGAGAGAGAGAGTGAATCAGTGGGAGCTTAGCCCGGATACCGGAATCTGGGCTGGTGAAGTAGTTCCATTTCCGCAGAATGTAAGGATGAGGGATTTATGGTTGGGGAATGGAGGACAGATATGGGAAAACTTTTCTAAATCATCGGAAACTTTGTCATCGCATTTTATATGGTGCTTAAATGACGAAATTAATTCAATATATTGGAAAGATTGTTGGTTAAAGGTGATGAAAAATGTGGGAAATCTATTAGTTAGATTTTGAGGTTTTTTTAATGGTAAAATAAAATAAATTAGGTTTTAAGACCATCAAAGTAAACGCATTACTCATTAATCAAAGAACTAGAATCTTTAATATTTATAGATTTCATTTATTGGCAATAAATTCTTATAGCCATAAGCTACCTGTACCCACCAGATTCCATTCGAAATGACCGACTTCCTTGGCAAGCACTTAAAAAGATTTTACATCCTGCCTGGGATTGCCATTTCCCAAAGATTCCACTTACCCAAATCGAGACTGTGTGTGTCTTTCTTTCGCATTGAGCCAGAATCTGAGAATCGTAGAAATGTGGGGATATGGGGTATGTAATTTACCTCAATGATTACCAGCCAGCAACCCCGCCACCTTCTCCTCTTCTCCTCTTCGATCCAAACGATCTGCAATCTATGGCCAATGTACCGCTAGATGATGCGCTGCCTGGACCATAAACAGAAAGATCCCAAATGCGAATGCGAAAAAAGAGCGGCAATGTAATTGAGTTCCTCCAGCTGGAAATGGTCAATTGGCAAATAGCAGCGACAAATAAATGAATCTCCTCCAGCAGATCCGCCGGTCTGAGAAAGCCTGGCCCAAAAGAGATTTGTTCGGCTTCGCCAGATTACGTGAAAGGTGAAAGTTGTCGAGAACCGCAAAACAGAGGCCAAAAGGCGAGGCAGGAGGAGCAGCAGGTGATCAGAAACACGGAGAGAAATGAGAACTAAAATGTTTTTAACAAAA